TGGGGCGGTGAGAGTGAGAACAAAAAAAAAAACCCCAAACCCCACTCTTTTTTGACAAGATATCGATCAAAGTCTTTCTTAGGCAGCTCCTGCCATGAAGCTGCATCACAGCGGGGTGACCAGTGCTGCCCACACAGCTGCTGCAGCCCTCGGCTCTCCTCACTCAGCCCAAAAAGCCCCACACGGGTCACGTCTTTGGTTTTTAAGTGGAAAAAAAGAGCAGATGTGGTGGTTTTTTGAGCTGAAGTGCAGTGCCCAGCTTCCCTGGCTGATGACCAGGAGAGATGGCAGCCACCCTCCTGCATCGCTCCATCTCCAGCTTGACCAGCCTGGCCAAGACCATGGAGCACGCAGGGACACTTGGCAGGACAGCAACCCCTGGGGCAGCCATAGGTCTTCCCCTAAAACATGGAGACACTGGAGAAAGAGGGGGAAAAATCCCTTTTTTCTCATTAAACACCCAGGGGATGCCACACTTCCAGTTCTCCCATTAAAGTACCCAAAGAAACTCCCAAAGGCATTTGATTTATGGCTCTCGCAAGGTGCCCACAGGTCCCCTGGTCACAGTTGGGGTCCCACCCTGTCACTGCAGGACCCCCCATCTCAGCAGAGCCTGCAGCACCAGGACCAGCTTTGCTTGATTTCCTGCCCAGCATCCAAAGCGACCCAAACCACAGGTGATCTGACCAGCAGCAGAAGATCTTGAACACCATCCCTTCATCACTAAAAATAGATAGGAGCAGTTAAAAAAAAAAAAACAACACACCACCACAAAATCGAGAACAATATCTGCTTGACCATCAAAGAGAAAACACACTCATTTTGAGGCAGGAGCACCTGAGAGGAGAACTTTCGGGTTGTATTTTCTCTTTCTGCAGCAGATGGGCTGGGTTTTCTTTGAAATAGATGAAATATCTCATCACTGTCAGCCTGAGGTAACTGCCTGAGGCATCTCCAGTGCTGGTGGCTGCCCCATTCGTGGGCTTGGTGGGGCTGGAAAGCAACTCAGTGATCAATCAGGTCAGAACAAACGACTCATTTTCCTTTCGAGCTCACTACCCGCTTCTTTCCTATTTGTACAGAAAGAGGTAGAACTTGTGGGTTGAAACCTGCCTGCTCACCCCACCACTCATCTGAGAACTTGGCAATTCATTGCAGGAGTGGGCTGGGGTGAACACGAGCAGCAGCATCGCTGCTACCTCCTGGCACCTGGGTCTGGGCAGCCACAGCTCGCTGGACATGGCAGCTCCATCCCACAGCTCTGCAGGGTACAATCTTGGCCAATTGCAATTAAAAAATGTTTAATTTCTGCGTATAATAAATGAGGAAATTTGTTGCAAACAGCGGCTGGTGGGGCTCTATGTTAAAAACAGTGCTGTGCTGCCAGAGGCGGTTTTTCAGAAGTCAGTATCAAAACAGCAATGGAAAATGGAGTATTTTTGAGCGGTTGTATGAGGAGCGTTTGAGCCGATGCTCAGCCAAGACATCCGACGTGTTACGTGTTTACCTGGTGCCACTGGAAACTTTTTCACCAACACCTCAAGTTAAATTCACGCTGTCTCTTGCTGAAAGCAATCCTTGGTCAAGCTCACGCACCACAGAGAGGTTTATAAAAATCAAAGAGATTTAAAAGGCTTTATTTGACCATGACAAATGGACACTGAAGAAGCATTTGACCCCATCAGCCCGTAGACTGAATAATTGTGACAAGAAGAGAAAGGGTTGGGAAAGTTTTTTTTGAGTTCAATAAAATGACCTAAAGCACAGGAGAAACCTGGGATCCACCACAGTGTCTGCAGCCCAAGCTTCCAGCATTTGGGATTTTATGGTGTGGTACTTTGGGAAGCTTCTCCCTCTTTTGGTAGCTCTTCACCAGCATCTCAGCCAAGTTCAGAGCAGGGCTGTGCAGTCACCTTGCTCTTATCGTTGGCCTTGCGCAGGTGGAGAGCAAAATCCAGTGACCAAAGTGCTCTGTGACAAATTTCTGCTGTGGCTGAGCCACCACAGCGGATCTGCACCGAGCGCTGGCACAGGGATGCTCCACGTGTCTGGTCACAGTGGGCTGAGGGTGCAGGAGTTTGGTTAACAGTGGTCAGAGTGTTTCACACACACATTTTGTAGCTGTCAGCAGCCAGTCCGAGCTCATCTGGCTTTTCTGAGCTTCACCCTTAGCGTTTTACATGGTTTTTTCACTAAGAGTGGTTTCAGCAAGAGTTTTTTCAGATCCCAGTGCCCAGCAAATACATTTGCAAAATTCCAGCGCCATTTCCTCTGTATTCCCGGCTGCCACAATTGTTTTAATATTAATTAATGGGAAATAATACCATTGTATTAATGATAAATTGCAGAGTCTTAGGTACCAAAGCAGCAACACCATAACTGGGAGGACAGGTAACTATTGAGAGAGTCACGTTATTCAAATGATGGTCATTTTTT